TAGCACACACATACCCCCCAAACAGGCAGAGCTAAAAGCAAAAAGGAAGTGAGGATATGTCATTGTAATTTCTCAGTGATCCTTATGTATTTGTTGATAAACCTATCTAAATATTTAGAACACTCATAATCTCTATCCAATACCACTACTTCTTAAGCAATAAAGAAAAATTTAATTCATCCTATTAATTTCAAATTTCCACACTTGCAGAAGAGATCATAAGGTCTCCAAATTTCATATTGATTAAAATCTACCTTAGAAAAAAAATTTGAAATCAATTAGAAGAATATATCTGATAATATTTTTATGGGCCAAGGGTAGGGGATAATTTCTTAAAGATAACAAGCATAGATCATAATGAAAAATATTTTTAAATCTGACTACATCAAAATTAAAAGCTTTGGTATGATAAAAAACAAAGTTAAATGAAAAGACTAGAAAATATATTTGTGATATCTGTAGGGACAAATAATTAATTTCCAAAATATCTAATAAATTTCAAATCAATAAAGAAAAAAAACCACTTTGGGAGGCCGAGGTGGGCAGATCATCTGAGGTCAGGAGTTCGAAACCAGTCAGGCCAACAAGGCGAAACCCCATCTTTACTGAAAATGCAAAAATTAGCTGGGTGTGGTCGTGCATGCCTGTAATCCCAGTTACTCGGGAGGCTAAGGCAGGAGAATCTCTTGAACCAGAGAGGCAGAGGTTGCAGTGAGCCAAGATCGTGCCACTGAACTCCAGCCAGGGCGACAGAGTGAGACTTCATGTCAATAAAAGCAAAGACAAAGACCAGGTGATTCTGAGATGAGAAAACCAGTGGTTCATAAACATGTGAAAAGGTTTTCAAGCTCACCAGTACTCAAGGAAAGGCGAATTAAACAAGGAGATAACGTTTCACACCTAGCAGGTTGGCAAAAACTAAATTTTAAATGTCAATCCTGATCTTGCTGAAGCTAGGGGGAAACGAGTACTCTCATCCTCTGCTGGCTGGTATTTAAATTTGAATAATAACTTTCAGAGCAAATTGACATTATCTAGGATCACTGAAAACATTCATGCTGTGACCCAGTCATTCAGTTCCAGGTCTACACTTTGGATAATCTCGGGCACATATTCTGTAAACAGACACACTCACTATGGGATTGTTTGAAACAGCAAAAAGAATTGAACTGCATTTAAATAACAATAAAGAAATACATAAATAAAATGTAGTGATAAAAGTCCAATCGTTGAATATTCCATGCAGCATATTACTTTCAATGGAAATTTTAGGAAACACAAAAGAATGCTGTAAACCTTTCATAGATTCATATGTATGTTTGTAAAACCATAAAAGATAGACTGGAAGATATTATAATCAATTCATGACAATGATTCCCTCTGGACACCTGAGACAAGAACGACACTGGAAATGTAAAATAAGGGGGACTTCTTTTTTACTTAACTGTGATAAAGTACACATAAATGTTGCCATCTTAACCACTTCTACACACACAGTTCAGTGGCATTTAGTACCTGTATGTTGTTGTGCAACCACCATCCATCTCCAGAATGCTTTCATCTGGCAAAACTGAAACTCTGTACATATTAAGTGCTAACTTCCCATTTCACTCTCCCTCACTCCCTGGCAACCTTCATTCTTTATGTCTCTGTGAATTTGACCAGTCTGGGTAGCTTATATGAGTGAAATTATAAATATTTATTTTTTCTGAAACTCTGTACATATTAAGTGCTAACTTCCCATTTCACTCTCCCTCACTCCCTGGCAACCTTCATTCTTTACGTCTCTGTGAATTTGACCAGTCTGGGTAGCTTTTATGAGTGAAATTATAAATATTTATTTTTTCCTGATTGGCTTACTTCACATAGCATAATGTTTTCATTGTTCATCCATGTTGTAGCACGTGTCAGAATTTTAATCCCAGTACTTTGGGAGGCCGAGGCGGGCGGATCACGAGGTCAGGAGATCGAGACCATCTTGGCTAACACGGTGAAACCCCATCTCTACTAAAAATACAAAAAATTAGCTCGGTGTGGTGGCAGGTGCCTGTAGTCCCAGCTACTCAGGAGGCTGAGGCAGGAGAATGGCGTGAACCCGGGAGGCGGAGCTTGCAGTGAGCACAGATCACACCACTGCA